CCCTAGGCCACTATTATCAGCTACCAAGCTATCCGTTGCTCATTATGTTACTCAGAGTGAGAGATGTGCTTGGCAGTTACCACAAGGAAAAATCGCCACGATCTCTGGTCTGAGAGCCCAGAAGGACACACAGAAAGAACAGAAAGGCTAGGAAAGAGAAGCAGTTCTTGGGAGAGCAGCAGCTTTGCAGGGTGTATAGCAGGTTTTGGTTCATAGGTTTCTGTTTTACCTTTGTGCTTAACAGCTGGAGCAAGGCAACTGCAGAGCACAAATTAGTGATAAATGGCTAAAAAAAAAAAAAAAAAAAAGAACCTGCCAAGAAACTTCATCCAGCAGCATCTCCCGCTGTTTTCAATTACTTAGACCTTTAAGTTTAGTAGAAAATCTAACTGAAAAGCTGCTTTGCATTCTCAGGTTTTTTGTTTGTTTGTTTGTTTTGCTTTGCTTTGAAGAGAGAAATTTGAAAGAAAGAACTAGATTTCCAGCAAAGCACTATTTCAGGCACTTGGAAAAGGAATAAAACTCAAAAGAAGAGTACCTGCAGACTTTTCCTGCACTTTATGCTTATGCTTCAGGTATGGTGTTTAAGTGTCAGAGGAGAAAAAACCACCTATAATCTAGGCATGTTCATCTCACTGTCTGTGACCTGTTTTAGAAATAAATGTTAGAAGGTAAATTTCCTTTAAAACTTATAGAAGAACGTGGAAATCAACATTCAATATTCAAGGCCCTGCATCATGGGAGCCCAAGGTAACATATTGTTGTAGATCAAAAAGCAAGTGAGATGGAAAACATAGTAAAGAATGCAAAATATATTTAGTATTTCTTAAGCCTATTTTCTAATGCTCTGGAAAAGCTGGAGATGCTTCAAACACAAATAATCTGCAAACACCATAGCAGGCCTTTACCAGGCTTCGAGATTTGGAAGAACTTCTGAGGGACCAGCCAGAGGTGCAGACTAAGCTCACAGTGACTGGCCAAAAGCCTCAAGAAGTGGAGGTTTGCGAGCTGAACTTTCTGGCATTTGATTTAACAGAGGTGAGACCATGAACTCCTGCTCCTTTGGTACGCAGTGCCTCCAGAAGATTTTCTAAGCTAGGCTGACTGTACTACTGTTTGACTGTCCAGCCCAGGGGGAACCACCTCCTGGTATATGCATCAGAAAGACCCACCCTGGAAAACACACCAGCAGGATATTTTTCTGGTAGTGGAATGAACTTCAGCTGGTGCTGAACTTAGGAGCTCTTGCCTTAGAAGTTACACTCCTTCATTATATGATAAGGACAGCCATGATCAACAATGCAAACATTTCACCACTAAATGGACACTATGAGGGGGTGTGAAGCTTTGCAAGTAATAAGTTTGGTGTCCTGTGGCAGACTCCAGGCTGCAGTTTCAATCTGAGTGACTGTCTTAGATTCTGAGTATGACATTCTATTTCTGGCTAGACAGAAATATCCTAGGTGTGAGCATAAGGTATGGAAATACAGACTAGTCCTACAACACCTCTACCCCCAGGGCAAGGGGGCAACTTGGAGGGACAGAAAAATTCTTTTCCCCCTATGTGTTTCAGTCATGCACTGTTCTTCCCCTTTGTTATTAAAATTTATGAGGTTATGAGAGTGATTTTAATTTTTTTTTTATTAACTGGGGAGAAAGAGGTAATTGGTGATTTAAGTTGTGAAGAGTGGGAGCAGCGTATTTATGAAGCAAAGCACTCTTTGGCATTAGAAAACAGGCAGACTGGGTTATACTTATGCTTTAGGAGTGACTTTCACAAGCAGAGAGATACAAGAGAACTGACGCACTCCTCTCCCAGTGAAGGGCTGAACAGAAAGTGTGCTGCCATTTGCCCTCTTTTCAGCAGGATTCCCATGGCTGCAATACGCACTTCACAAACATGGCTCTCCACAGGGGAGCCAGAGAAATGAGAGACAACAACAGCATTGCAAGAAGTTGCCAAAAGGCGGCAGCTGTATTTAGAAACAGTAAAGTAAGCCTTTTCTTCTGCTGTACAATCAGAAATACATAGATTATGTGGATTTCAAAGAACAAAATCCGGCTACTTTTGCACTGACTTATACTGCTCTTACAGCCGAAGACTGTCAAGTATGAATGTCAAAATGTCAACCACACTGCTTCTTTCCACCTAAATTGTAGCTCTTGTTTTCAAAAGCAATATAAAGCCAAGGGTTTGAAAGGCCTGTCATAGCAACTGAATGGAACATGAATCACTGTGCTGGGCACTGCTCTAAACGCTGCTTCTTCCTTCCTCCTCATTCTTGAAGGTCAGATAAATGGTACCAGGACCTGCATCTGAAGCTCTTCCCAGCATGATAAAAGACAGGAATCTTTCTGTGAAGGCTTTGCATAACTGTAGCATAAGCTGAAACCAGAAAACACACCTTAGAGCTAACCATAGATACGCATCTGTTTCTTATCAAATGCCTCCTCTCACCCCCACTCCCATCTTTTAACTTTTTTTTGGGTGTTTGAATCCATGTAAATTTTTTACCATCAGGAGGTAGGAAATACTGTTTACATAATCAGAGGCAAACACCATTCATAGGAAACTCTGAAAACCTCCACAATACTTTCCATTTACTAATTAGTGCCAAGTATTGTGTCATACACTACATGGCCTATTCTTCAATAAGCAAATTCCATCTGTCAGTCTCTACATGGACATTTCTTCAGTGCATATCTTTCAGGACAATGAAATTAAGGAAGGCTTCTGCCCTTCTTCAAAGCAGTCAGTTCTTTAGAGCTTGCAGAAGTATATATTTGCAGTGGCAACACTCTCAAAAAGAACAAGAGAATGCAAAATGACATCTGAAGTGGTAAACTTAATTATCTTTAAAGAAATAACTGTATCTATTCTGCAAACAACATGCAGCTGTGGTGTACATATTTCTCAGTTTCACACTTCTTAGAGACTCATATACAGGAAGCATCAGGCTGTAACATCACTCAAATGTAAAAATGCAGAAACCCTGGCGAGTTCATGAACTACCATAAACAGGAGTACAGAGATTTTTGTCATGTGAGGTAGAAAGTAGCAAACATAACCTGCAGGAAAGACAGAGATACGACACTGAGCACTGTGTTCAGTCACTTACAACATGTAAGAGAGATCTGATGGTTGAAAGTAGAGCACTTTACAGTTTCAGAGGAAAAAGGAAGATAAGGTGTGTTGGCTGGAAGATGCTGCTAGAAAAACTGGCTTTAAAATATAAAATATTTTCCTAGCAGTGATAATAAATATTGGAATATTGTCAGGAGAAATTATGTGCTGCCACTTGAAAACATGTGAGAGTACAGGGGTCTTTCACTTAGCTTCTGTGAGACCCATTATAGGTCACAACAGATGATTGCAGAGCTCCCCTCTGGCCTGATTCTCCATGAATCTGCAAATTTTACAGCTTCATCCTGTGGGGCCAAGGCGTTTTGGCTCCAAACCAGCAAGGCACTTATGCAGATGCTGAAATGAAAGCTGGCTTTCCTCACTGGAGCAGGGCCAGCACCATCAGCCTCTTGCAAGACAAGCCCAACCATCTTTAGCCATCTCGGCATTTGACCACTTTGGGGTTTCTTTGCCGCAGTAGCAATCAGAAGCTCACAAGAGTAGGGGCTTGAAAACCATAAGCTTCCAAAGCAGTGGAATACTTTTAACTCTTGCTTATCTTGCATCAGTTTTGCTGAGGTAAAGGGGGGCATGAATATGCTGGTGTAGAGTTTTTTTTATTGTGGTTGCACTTGGCAATAATTTAATTGAGATCAGGAAAGACAAATCGAGGCAAGGTACTCCAGGAAGATGAGTAAATGAAAAACAATGCCTTTCTCCAAAGAGCAACTTAATCTAATTACTCACTCAATAAAAAGTATTAAATCAATACCTCATGGCTACAAATACATGTATGCTGGAAGAACCTAACTTGAACCATTCTGAGTAGCAGTCTGGAAAAGATGTGAGGCATTAGGAAGGTTCAACATATATACACATACACACACAAACACACATACATATACAGAAATATGCCAAAGAGTCATTAACAAAAATTAACTGGAATACAGAAAAAGGGTTCTGTAAAAAATCTTAAGTTCAGAAAACTGGAAGATACAGTTTTTATGAATTAGAAGCCAATTTGGAAACAAAAATCCAAACTCCATCTGGCCTACTTGGATATTATTTAAATTATTGTATCATATTATTGAATTAAATTAATTAAAAATTTTTACTTTTCCTTAAAATCAGCATGATATCCTTTGAAGCTGTCATTAATCTCAGGTGGTAACAGATGGTTAATTTATGGTGGTCCAAACTTCTTGTCAAGAAATTCTTTCAAGTATCTATAACATTTTCCTACCTTTGTTCTTCCCCTAGTACCTTACATAATTTAAAAGAGTATTTTGATTGTTCAAATTTTTTTTTCTGGGTTGGGTTTTTTTTCCCCTTTAAATTTTTTTGCTTAAAGCAAGCTGATAACTGGTTTGTTATTAGGAGTTTGCTTTAGGTACAGCAATAAATATTTTGCTTTTAATGAAATACAATGTGATGTATCATGTATTTTCAAGAAAGGACAAAATTATGGCCTAGGAAATTCTGAGCTAAGCACATTTCCAAGATTTTGCAGTTGATTTAAGAGGATAGAAGTGAAAATAGATCTGATTTTATTTTTAAAAATGGAAAGAAAGAAATTTTGAATTCACCTTTTAATACTTAGAACAGCTTATGTGTAAAGCAATTCTGCTTTATCCATTAAGTGGAAGAAATAGAAGTGGGATGGAAATACATCCAACCTTTAACACCAAGTAAGACAGAAATGCTTGAGAATGAGTGGGAAATTAACACGTTTAGATTTTTTTTTCATTTTTTTTCCCCAGTGTTAGAAAAAGTCTGGCTAGAAGCATTTCCAGTACTCATTCAGAACAGCTTACATTTATCTCCTTCATTCTGTATGCAAAGGAACAGTTGCCAAAACACTGATTAATTTACAAACCTGTCAGATTTGGTCTCCTGAGGCGGTAACAGAGTTGTCCCATAACGAGTAGTGGGTGTTGTAGGGGCACTCACGCCAGCGTAAGGTCGTGGAGAAGAGTAAGAGCTGCTGCCATAACTATTGTATCTGAAGAAATGGGAAGAAAAGAAGGAGAAAGGGAGAGACAGAAAAAATCTGTCAGCAAACAGGCATGCAACAGTAAATCCTCTTGTTTACAGGGTGGTAGTGATCCCATACCCCAGAATTTTTCAAACATTCACCTTCTGAAAATGTTTCTCTATTTCCAAATATGCAACCAATCATCTACTTTTAATATCAACCATGGCATGAACATACATGATGAATCAGTGAGCTATTGGTAAGGAAAATAATGAGATATTTGAATGCTTCTCCCAAGTAACAACTCAGAACAGGAATACTTGAATTACTGCTCAGTTACTCAGAATTATTAGCTGTTTTGGGAGCTGGTATCCAGCCATTAGAAAAGGGATCAAACCAGCCCAAGACAGCAGTATCCACATCTACTAAAATTAAGGAAAACAGCAGCACTCCTGAGACATGATCTGAACATGGGCATCCATGACTTGCAAATGCTTGCATTTTAAACTGAAAAGCACCACATTCTTTTCAATTAAAGCCAGCAGTATTTTCTTTCCCCTCTCCCAACATAAGTAATAGCTTATGTGCCATTTCTTACAATGCCTGTAAAAAATCATCACCATGGTTAAAAAGACATGTCTCTGGAAGCATGGCTTTAGAAGTTTCTATCAGCCCTTCTCTCCATTAAAAACCCCATAAACTCGCTTCACTTCAATGTGAGCTTGCTGATCAAAGAGAAATTGTTTCCAGGACTTCTGGAATGGCCACCTCCCCAGAGTCCCTTCTATCAATGTTTTCATCCTGATTCCTGTACTGAATAGAAAAGGCAGTTCTGTTGCTTTGCTGTGCCTTTTAACCATTGTACTTAAATAGCATGTCAAAAAAAGATTCTTGATTTGGGAAAATATTAATATTTCTCTCTTTAACACTGTTCACAGACAGTGCCATTTCCCCACATGGAAAGCATATGGTGCTCTGAAGATCAGTACTCTGCAAGGTCAACTCATCCAAATGACAAAATTCATTTCAGGTAATAGAGCAACATCGTTTTCTTTATTATAATTCATAGGATAGAATATATCCTCCTGCACCGTATCTTTTCTCTGCTGCTTCTTCCCTCACACACATCAGCACTCAGTAATTTCACTCAGCAATTTTATTTGAAAATACTGGTTGGTTTCCTTCAGCTCCATTTAGCATACTCATCTAGCCATGCAAAATTTAATTCAAAGTTTCACGTTTTTCCTTAGGGTTCAACAGCATTGCTGCCTGCCAAGGTCCACGTTAAAATTAGAGTAGATTTCAGCTAGGTGTTCTTACAATGGAAGGGATTGCACTTTAGAGAACATGTCCTCTTGAACAGCAATTTCAGGTTAATGCTTTAGAAAACACCCCCCAATCCCTCATTTGTTTTTGAGACACTACACTGACTAGCAACAGGGAAATAGTTTTGGAAAAAAAATTCTAACATGCATGTTTCTGAGCCACAAAGGGAATTTTGCAGGAAATAATTGCTGTCTGGGCCTTCTTGCCCTAGAAGAAAACTAACTAGAAAGTGGAGACAGTGGCCCACTGGAGGCTGTGTAACTGGACAGTGTGGAGCTTCCCTGGTAGCACAAACCCAGCTTGGGTCTTCTCTCCGACAGGCTCAGCCCAGGAAATGTTCTGACTGTGTCTGTACTGAGTGAGCCATGAGAAAACTCCTCTGTCCTGTTAAGAACTCAGAGCTCATTTGGTGTGTTCCTGACACAGAGACCTCCATTTCCATTTCCACCAACTGCAAGGAGACCTTCTTATCAACCATTATATGTGCTTTTCTTCTCTTCTGCCCCATGAAAAAGCTGACAGAGAGTAGAGCCCTTTTCCAGACCAAGGGTTTTTAATTAGTCCAAAGATAACTCTCGTGAACATGGAGGGAATGCACCGCCTATGGAGTCAGACTTACACAATTAAAAAATTAAATTCAGAGGGACAGGTCTGGACACAACATCCCACCAAATTTTGAGAAACACTGAGTTGCTGGAATAGGAACAAGGCAAGACCAGAACACCAGGGTAAGTCTGTGTGCTATACCCAAAGTTTATTTTTCTAACCTTCCTCTGGTACTGGTTATTGCTTCTATTTTCCCTTCTTGTCTCATGTACCAGTGTAGATGCAGTAGGCTTCTCCAGCAGCATTCACCCTCGAGACATTTTCCTCTTTTATAGCCATATTACTGAATAAATTGTGCAGGCTTTGCCCTCCTTTTCCTCCAAAAAAAACCCCAGAAGAATCCCCACCCCTGAACCTCTGTACTAAATGGAAGCAGAAAAGATGGTCAGAGGACAAAAAAATTTAAAAAAATCACTGCAGATATACTAAATATTGCAGGAACAGGAGGTATTTAGAAATCTACTCTCTAAAGTATAACAGCAGCAACAATGGAAGACCAATAAATGAGTGTGAGAGGTCTAAGGGAAAAATGAACCTATCAAAAAAAAAAAAAAGTAAATTTGGAGGAATTCCAGTGTTCAAGTTGCAGGTAAAGGAAAAATATGTGAACTAAGTCACTTGTCAACAACTATTTGGATTTACAGGCTTTTCAGAAAAATGAAAAAGGGACAAAACACACCCACCTATTAGGAGAGAAAAATAAAAAATTAAAAGGATCAAAGGAATCAAAACATTTGTTCACATGCAGAAACTCAGAAGGACTGCTGGAGAGAGGAAGAAATAAATATGCATGCAATATAAATGTACATTTTCAGCACCTAATTCAAATAACACTGAGAACCATAAGAGACAGCAAAAAATGATCAACCTATTTTCAAGCTGATTCTCTGTCATTATTTTTAGTGCTACTTACTGTCACTTTCTTTTACTTAAAAACAGATGATACAAAACAATATTTGTTTTATTTTAGAGGGGTGGGATGGGGAAATTAAAGTTAAAAAGTAAGATAAATGCATGAGGAACAAGTAAATTCAACAGATGCTGTGGAGATACAACTGTCTATTCTGAGTGCTATGTTATCTTTATAGATCTCTTATTACAAGCATGAGCTGAAATTGCACATGAGATGGACAAGCATTGTAAGCAAACAACAAATTCAGGATTTGGCAGCTCAGCCTTTGAAGCCAGGACTTCATCTCTGAATTTTGAGTACTGATCTGACCTCTCCTGATTTTATAGCAGAAGAGCTCCATTAATTTTCATTAAAACATGTCTGAAAATTACATTGTTGTAAATGAGAGCAAAATGGTGCTCCTTTCCTGATCTCCCAAATCATGGGTTATTTATCCACTGCTCTATAGAGGAGGCCAGGATATTTATTAACTACAGACCTGGAAGAAGAGTAATATCAAATCAAAATACAGACTTACAGGGCTAAAATTAGTATAGTATGTTTTTTAAATAATACAACACATAGACTAGCATTACTAGCACTGTAAAATTCTTGAAAGGTTTTATTCATTTATCTAAAAATTATTGTTAGCTATATAAAATCTACCTGTTTTCCCTCATCATTTCTGCTTCCTTTTCTTTCACAGACGCTGGACAGTCTTCAAAGTCATAGGAGAAGAGGTGAAAAGGAGTGTGTGGTACATAAGGTAATTTCTCCACTGTTGGAGATGCCTTTGGAGTAATGGGTGCTGAGGAATTTTGGGGAGAGCTCAGCAATGCTGTTGCAGGTGAAGATGGTGATGAAAGGACAGAATTGTGATGAGAGACACATGAGTCAGGCACAGAAGAGGAGTTGCTAGAAAAGCTCTTTGCTCTAGAGATGGTGAGAAGCCTCTCAGCTGGAGAAATGGCACTGGAGACAGCTGAAGAGTCAGAACACTGTGAAAAGCTTTCCTTCACAGCCTCATGCACATCTGGAACCTCACTGCAGGAGGAAAAAATCATTAGAAAAGGAAGTGGAGAAAAAAATGGGGTGAAGGGAGATCACAGATAGTGTCACTTGCAGGGAAAAAAAATGAAGAAGAGTAAGACAAACAAAAACTTCCAAAATTTAGACAACCATTCCATCTTTTTAACTAAAGAGAACTCACATCTTTGTATCCCAGTGAGATTCTTCTTAGGGTTGGAAATACTGGGGAAAAGAAGCAACACATTCCAAAGGAAAAGAGGGGATTTAATTTATTGGCTTCAGAACCAATTCTTGTGAGCTTTTTCACACCTTTTCACACAAATTTCAAAACAATTTTCGTATATTTCAAGTTAGCTTGTAAACATTGTCAGAGAAGTAGAAAGCAGACTGAACACACTGGAAAATACTCCATCCAGCACAGATGCTTCAAGATACAGTCTGCAGGACTGCTTCTCCAAGTCCAGGTATCTGACTATCACACTCCCTGGGAATCTGATCTTTTTACTAAAAATGTTCACCCAGCAAATGAAATAAAAAAAAAAAATAGTCAGCACTGTTCTGTCAAAATTCAAGTTTAGAATGATCTCAAAAGTAACACCTTACTGGATATTTTTCTAGGTATGAAGGCACTAATTTCTAATTACTCTGAGTGTCAGCATTCCATGCTGGCTTTTCATAGAGACTTGCAGAGTTTGTATCAAAGAAAATAGAAAATACATCTGCTTTGCTCTACTGAAGGCAGATGTTGGTGAGAGACAGAAGGCACAAAGCAGGTGAAAAGCCATGGGATCTACACTCCAGGGTGTCTGTTTTCACTAGGAACTTCAGCATAAACACTGTGCATGGGCTTTGGCCTGGATCACTTGACATGGTTGGTTTTGTTCTCCCAAGACCACTTCTGCAATTCCCCAACCAGCAAGGAAGGCACAGTCCTTATCTGAGGACTACAGGCTTGGTATAGCATAGGCAACAAAACCACAATTTATGGTAGATATGTTGGGATCTTATGCAGTTTATCATCAGGTGTATACCAGGTAATTTTTCACAATGGAAAATCAGGAAGCCTTCATCTATCACACCTGCTGGGCTTGACAGGAGACACTGAAGTCAGGCCAGTCCTACCTGACAGCATCTAACATAAATAGCCAGGTTACAGATAATTTTTTTTATGCTACAGAGACAGTGAAAGAAGGTACTTAGGAAGGTCATGGGAATATCACCCAATTATCTTAAAGAGATAATTATCTTAAAAAGACCAATGACCTAAAACCATATTATGCTCTTCACATTTCTTAATGAGGCTCTTCCTCACTTTTTTAAGCAGTATTTTAGTATACTCATGAGATTTACCAGTAACTTCTGTCTTAGCTTTGACTTTTAAGAATCAGATTTGAGGAAATTATCATTAATTTTGAAATTTCAGGCAGCCATTGGCAAGATTTGCAGACTGGAAGATAGTAATAACAAAAGTGCAGTATTTTCTTTGGAACTCACAGATTAAACAGTTTCCTTTCTTCCTTCTGTGCTGTACAGTGTCTGCATGAATGTGGTTTATGTAAAAAAACAAAAAAAAAATCCAATCTCATTTGCTGAATTGCAAAGCCAAATAATTTAGGCTAAATCAAATGGCTGTCCAGAACAAAGAATGTATTTGCTTTCAGTTTATTAGGATCAAGTTACCAAATGCCAAACACATATGTATATCTCATAAATAAGTGGAAAATTTTTAAACAAGAGTATTGATAGGTGATGAAGAATATTGCTTGGTGATTTGCTTATATATGTATATATACAGATGGGTAGGCATTTATAAAATTTTATATATACATATGTATATATATATTATATATACATGTATATCAGTTTTGCCTCAAAGTAGTTCTTTGCTATAAAAACATGAACAAATTTATATGGAATCCAAGGCAGCATTCAAAAAATGTCAAATTACTGCATAGCAACAGATATTCCTAATAAGGTAGTAGCATGAAGCTAGGAATGAAAACCTAAGAAACCAAGCAACATCTTCAACGAAGCACTGTAGTGTTTCATCATTGCCTTACCTAAGAAGTTAAACCAAACCATGCTTAAATTTATGCTTTTCACTATAGCTTTTAGGATTTGTGAGCATTATCTAAAGGTAAGTGCAGACAGTTCATAGTGCACTGAACCTTTATAAATGAGTTCTTCCATTAGCACTGCCACCCCCCAGCCCCCTCCCCAAAGCTTTTAAATGCAAAAATATTTCCTAGGGGGGTGGTTTTAACAGGTGATCAAGGAATGTGAGTGAAAAGGTGGATGCCACTGCACACTGTGCTGGTGAGTTCATGCCAGAGCCTGAAGAAAAGGCAGAGGGACAGTGCTAAATCCTGGTACCTGGCTTTGACCTGCCTATTGGCCTCTTCCTCCCCCTCATCCTCAGTATTGGGCTCTGTGACTGGCTGTTCTTCTTCCTCCTCTTCATACTCGTCCTCTCTGAGGTCAGACCAAGGAAAGAGTCATGCAGTAGGATGGAAAGAAAGAAGGTGGAAGAGAAAACAACGTGAGTCCCCAGGAAAAGAAATGCAATGAAGTTAGAAATGGAAGGAAGAGACTGATGAAGAGGGAGTTATGAGCCTCTTATGTTAGCCACTTAAAACTTCCTGCTAAGTATGTGTTTGCACAAGGGTAGCTACTGATATAAAACTGCTATCCTCTCCCCTGTTTACATTTTTTACTATTATTTTAAGATCCAAAGCTGCCATTGATTTTTCATGAGCTTTACTTTCCATTTGCAGCTGCCCTACCTGCAGGGGCATTAATGAAAAGCATTTGTGATAATAGCAATGTTCAATTCATTAGTCATTAAGTTGTGCCTTTTTGGCCTAAAGGACAGTACACATTGTGCTGGCATGGGACAGCTGGCACTGGACATCATGTTTCCTAAATTAGCCCAAATAAAACATTCCTGCTAAGTAACCAATAGCTCAACTGGAAAACAGAACAGGGTGAACCATTGAGTTTGAAATAACAGAGACCAAATCAGTTCAGGACTATTAGCAAATAGCAATATTTAAGTTATCAGATGCCAGTACATGAATTATTTCAGAAGTCATTACTATGGTCAAAGCAGGCTTCAGTTCAGCAGCAATTTTGGCAGCAGAGAAGTGTAAGTCATGCATAAAGCCTCCACAACCTACAAGCCACAAAAGTAAAATAAGAAATCTATATTAAACATAATGAAAAAGCTACAATCTGCCTCCCGTCTCTTGTATCTATGCTTTTCACCTTCCCAAACCAACAGACTCATGGAAGATGCATTTGCAATTGATACAGTTCTCCACTTGATTTAATGATGTACCATTAGGCTGTGCTCCATGCAAAAAGAAAAAATATACAATCAGTAATGAAGTTTGTAAGACACTCATATTCTTGCATTTTCCTGAAAGCTTGTTCTTTCCTCTGATTCTGAATGGATGCTTTATGATTTTTTTCCATTTAGAATTACCTTTTATGTTATAAGAATACTGAATATTTACAGCGTGAGAACATGAACTTATTGAGGGCAATGCAAAGGGTCAATCCAAAATTTGTTGCATTTATATGGAGTTAGTTACAGAATAACCAAGCAAATGGCAGCGCCTGGAACTTTTCCAATACTCTGGCAAACATTTTACAGAGTAAACACTTTCAACCATTCCTAAGGTGGCTTAGTAACCATCTTAGTTGTCATCTCATCATCTCCCTGTCCTGCTCACAAATATATACTTTCGTTACACAGACATCTCTCAATTTTCACACATTTACTCATTTACTGGAAAAAAAAATAAAAGAAATGGTTGAAACAGAGAGCATTCCTATAATCCCTTCTTACTAACTCAAGCTCCAGGACTCAGATTTGGGAAATAACTCATGAAGCTCTGTGGGATCATGGTTCTCTCCTTAGAGCACAATGCATCCTATAATGCTGGCAACACAGCTATTCTTATATGAACAAGAGTGTCCCCATTTTTGCTGTTTAAAGCTCCCACCAGGATTCCACATCAGTGATGTCAAAATTTCTCCTCTCCTCAACTGCCTCAAAATGCCACAAATCATTAGTGAAATACTAATCTGATATAGTGGATCTCATAAATTTGAAAGAGTTCTTCGAGAATTTATTCCACCCTATGAAGGCATGGCTAAAACAACAGGAGTTTACACAGCACAGAGAAAGGATATGAAAAAAAAAAAAAAGTAAGAGATTCCAGAATGATCATTCTTCTGTCAGGCCAATGACTCCTTCCTCAAGGGTCCTTGAGTTCTAGGTCAAAATCTTAGAAGAAACTTTGATTGGAAAGATCTTTTCTTTTGCTAATATTAAGTGTAGGAGGGCAGCAACTACATGGCAAGTGGTTGGAAAAGCCAGGGGAAGGATCTGGCTCTGTATGACTTGGCAGCAGAAATGATTGGTGTGCACAGAGGCAGGCACACTCTCCCATCTGGGAAAGCCAATGTGGTCAAGGGAAACTTGCACAAAGGAAATAAGTGATTGCATACGGGAGATGCTCAACACTTAGAACCAAACTCAAAAGTTTCAGAGTTCTTGAGTATCCCCAGAAGGGGGCTCAAATACAGATCAGAGTAGAGGGGTAAGCTCACAGGCAGGAAGGATGTGTGCTCTTCTTTTAACCAAAGCAAGCGGCAAAAATAAAAGCACTAATAAATTCAGACTGATGAAAAGAAATTATAAGAAAGGGAGTCTTCTACAAGTTTAGCTGAAGGCTGGGGCAGAGTCCTTGAGATGCCAGGCCTTGCACCTCACACACACCTAACCTAGTCACAGCTGGATGATTTTAAAAGAGCACTTTGAAGACAATGGCTCTTAGTCCACAAGAACTCAAAGCACCAAAACTTGTTCTCTATCCCACTGGACCCTGGAGCTGAGCAATGTGTACAAGGTTTTGCGTATCCTCTTTCTTCTACAGGGTCTCCTCAATCTCTTTGCAGAGTTTTGATGAAGGCAGCTTGAAAGAACTTAGGATTTCTTTCTTGCTCGTAGCCCAGAAACACAAGTTTCTCACTACTCTCCTCCAAAAAGTCCCAAAGGTAGAGCTAGAAAGAAAATCAAAGGCTGTGCTGAAGGAGCAAAAAATGCCCCAACAAACAAACAACCCCAACCAAACCAAACAAAAACCCACACCAACAAAATAAGCATCTGCACAGACACATTCTGCTTTGCTCAGTATCAAAGGAAATTTTGAAAAGGTAAGATGTGCTTGAAATAATTTTAATTCAGGATGAATTTAACCAGTAATGAACCAGAATATAGAACAATGGAAAAAATTATCATCTTGCCACAATTAGGCTACCAAGGTTTTGGTCAGCACATTCAAATCACACAGAAGTTAACTCATGAGATATAGTAGATGATCTTTAGGTCCATTCCAACACCAACCATTCTATGATTCAAGCCACATTCAGTGAAATAAGACCTCCATTACCCATTCCACAATATTATTTTAAATTGCATAATACAGCTGATTTCACAAATTTTCCTTTCAAGGTTGTTTTCCACTCTGTCTCCTGCAAACCTCTGACCTGTTTTACCTCGTGCACAGCTGCATCCCTGAATTCCAAGTGAACAAAGAGAAACTGAAAAATGTTCCATCAAGGAAAGATATAAGTCACAGTCGATGTAATTTTATTTTCTCTTGCCATTGCTTGGCAATTTTCTTCAATTAATGAGTTCAATTCCACTTTTATAACTTAGATGGCACAATTCATAGCCAAATTCCTAAATCCATGTAAAATAAACAAATGTTTTGGTACACTTCTGTTGCTTCTTCCTTTCTTCTATCCTAGCTTCCAAAACAGATTCAACTAGTCCTTTAGATGAAAGGTAAAAGTGGCAATAATTAAAATTCAACAATTATAAGTCTGTATAAAGATATGCCAATACACTTTCCTCCTCCATTAAAAATAAAACTAAAGAAACTACCTATTAACCCCACTGCCTATTTCTATTCCACTGCAGTTGGTGCAAGTATGTGAAGATAAAATTACATTAAATTATATGGATAACAATGTACTTACAAAACCTCAAAATTTGACCTTCTGCATACAGGAAGACTAAGGTGACTAATTACAAAGGTCAAAAGGAAAATGACCCTGGTATTTCTGCCCTAAATAAAGAAAACAGTTCAGACAAAAAGGTGAGGAAATATCAAATGATGAGAAGTACATGCACTCACTATGCCTTCATATCTGCCTTTTATCTTTAGGTCCCTGTTACATTTTATCCCTAAATTATGATCAGCGACTGCTTTTCACAACTAAATAATACCTAGGAAATACCTCCAGAGTTAACTGCTGCAGTTGGTTTATATAGGACACATCAAAGCACAGCAAGACACCAGAACATTGCTTAAGATACTGGCAAGGCTTTGCAAAGACTTCAAGAGTCACAACTCTCTGATCATTTAACTGCATTGCTGTTTTTACATTTCTAAGATCAGAGAGGTAAAGAAAAAGAATAATGATGCAGATAGACTTTTGGAGCAATATATACTGAAACATATACAGAAAGAGAGAGAGCTTGGAAGAGCATATTGGTTAACAGTTGAAGGCCACTGTTACCAACCCTTCAAAGGGAAATGGCGTCCTACCAAGTTGCTGTCTTTTTTTCCCCCTCCCCACCGCATCCTATGTGTAAAAAATCTTTCCTGTTCTCAGAGGATCATGTTTACAAACACTGGAAACACACGGGAGAGATGAACTCTCTAACACATGTACATTCCAGTGCATAAGACACTACCACACAGATCCAGAGAAATGCATTCATGGCATTGCATTTCCTCAAGTAGTTCATGAAAGCTAAACACACAGTGGAAAAAAACCAAAGTAAAATAATTAGGCTAAGTCATGCTGTGATTTCATTTGCCATGCACCTGTAATCTATTTAGAATTCAGCGCTTTCTTGATTCCTCCTGAAGTTCAAATAGGAAAATCTACCATTGCCTTTACAGCAAAGTGCCCTGCTTTTAACTGGACTCTGCATGTTTACCAAGCATAAAGCATTTCCTTTTCAGAGAGACATGCACTAGAAAACTGGACACACCTACAGAGATGTTTTAATTAGTATTAAAAAAAGCTGCTATCAACTTGAAACAGCAACTGGACCTGGACCTAAGATACTCATCAATTGTAATTTTTATTACTTATTGGATCAATAGTGGGTCAATCCCTATCTATACATCAATGCAGTCCTTTTTTATGGTATGGCTTTAAAATTTTTTTTTCTTAACGTATCTTATGTATCTTCCTCTACTGCATTCCTTATGGGAGCTTCCAAGATATTCTTACAAAGAGTAAGATTGAAAATTTCACACTTTTAGGGTTCTCCTTTTGAATCTGCTTGACTTAATGCTTCAAATCCTACCTGCACAGGAGAAATGTGTTCTCCTGCTCCAAACTTAAAATAGCAGGTTACATTTTCATATGGTATTGCTGTCAAA